TAAATTTAATCTGCTGCCTGAGGAGTTACAGATGCGATGACGTCCTGGTCACGTGGTGTGACGATGACCCGCTCTCCGGTATTCAACTCATGTTTAGAGTCATTCTGAGGATCCGACCTTTTTGAACCTGTCCCGTGTAAAGCGTCGAAAACATACAGAGTCTGTCAGTCAGTGTTCTTTCAAGTGAACAGAAAACACAGAATTAGCTCGTAGCTGTTTTTTTATGGCTACTCTGTTCACGAATACCTAATTTAAAGTGGTGTTTGAAACCCTCCCGAGGGACCGACACACCCAATAGAGAGTGGTTCAGAATAAGCGAATCATTCACTGATCACACACTAACTGTTGCAGCTGCCCGGAAAGCTAGTTTTAGACAAGTGGCTAGCCGTAGCCAGGGGAATAACATCGAATCGTTGACTAGCTCATGTGTTTAGCTGCCGTATTTACACAATTCCAGCTAGAGCATTAGCAGCAAGTGGAGGACAATTGACCAGAACTGGCAGGTAGGTGGACAACAGAGACATTTTGTTCCTTCCCTTGTTACCAACAGTATGTCAGACTGTAGGGCACCAATAGGCAGCTAACTAACCACTTAGCGTGAAGTGACCAACTCGTTGTCAACTGATGACTTGACGTGTATTGTTATAACGTTATATCTCAAAGTCTCTCACTAATATTTAGAGACAATCTCACTCGGTCAACAGCTAACACGGTCGCTTCCCCTTGTGTTATTAGCTAACCAGACGAAATGTGTCGTTGAATAGTTCCCAGGTGTATTTCAACCATTGTTTGGGTTTGTTTGGGAATGTAAAGTACAATCCAGTTCAACTTGGATAGTTAGCTGTCCCTTGTCCCACAGGCCTCGGGGTGCAGCCGTCATGTCTCTGTGTTTACGTCCTCCTGTGTTTAGGCTGTTGTACCAGTGTTAGAGGCCTTATTGAAGACATTATAACCGGGGCTGAATAACAGTGACATGTTGGGGACAAACAATAATTCCCGTTAAACAGGGTGAGGTCGATGTTGTGATTGTGCTGGGTCTTTTCCAGTCTAATACCACATGGTGGCGCTGGTGCATATCGAGACATGAGCTAAATTAGCTTGATTAGCTCCTTGTTTATTGAAACGCGACTAAAGGATGTGGATGAAGCGGCACCTGCCAGTGAGTAAGACCCACCCACTCATATCGCTAATATCCCTCCAGTCGTCTCTGAAGCAGTAACTAGATGTTTATTTCAAGGTATGCGAGACTAATGTCAGTATGAGGACTATATACACCACATGTTAGCCAGCTGTGCGTAGAAAAAATCAGGAAGTTCCATGTTGACAAAATACCACATTTCGGTTGGTGTCCCATCCCCTCACTCATGTAGATCAAAGGGCTCCCTCCATATCTTATATCCCACAGCTGATAGCAGGGAGCTGCAGATGTGCTACCCATGTTGGCATTTGTTCATCTACTCTAAATATATATCAGCTTTAAAGCTTGATATCGACACATTGATACTGCTCTGGACTTCCTTTCCTGTCCAGGCATACAGACTTTTCTAAAGTATGTCGTATGTACGTGTTACGTTGCTGTGTGTGCATTGTGACTGATTTTGTGTTTGGTTGTTTCAGATTAGAGATGGAAGCAGATGACTGCAGTTTTCCTCTAGATTCATCAGATGATCACTCGCAAAGAGGAAGTGTTGCTTCCTCTGCAACACTTTCCCGTGGTACAGTGCCCCGAATATATAACTCATAGAGGATAAAATCGCTCCCCTGTGTTTTCTAATGTGCATTTTTTTTTTTTGTAGCAATTTAACTTTACATTTAAAAGTGAAACTCTTTGGCTTACTTGTCCTTGTCATTTTATTTGCTTCATTTTGATTATTTGTATATCTTCACACAGCTCAAGATGTGCTTATATACCTGTTTGGTGAGAGCGCAGTACACTTAACAGTAGAAGGCCTTGGCAGTGTCAATGTGCAGGAGTTGGGCCGCAGTGTTCGCGAGGCTCTCCATATTTCTGAGTCTGTACAGGATGCTTTTGCCTTCTGGCTTTGTTCTCCACTGCTCGGTAAGAACTTTTTCCTGACTGATGATATGAAAATGCTTATCTGAGAGCAGGAATACAGACACATCTCACTGTGTGACATTTGCCTCCTCATTGCTCCTCAGATTTGCAGTTAAAGGCAAGGCATCAACCATACAAACTGTGCCGGCAGTGGCAGGACCTGCTGTATCGCTTCACTGAAGCCTCAGAGGAAGACATTTCCCAAGGTGAGAGTTTGATCTGTATGTCAGTGTGTTTACATGGTCTAAGTAAACCACAAGTTTGTTTGGAGTCCGGAATAAGCAACGTTTCTTTTTTGGGGGAAGTTGTCTAAACAAGAAACCGGATTTGTTGAATCAAGTTAAGGATTAGACGACTTGGTTTATAAAGCAAGATTTCTCTTCAGGAGCACTTGTACTTGTACTCTGGGCTGGGAGGGCAAAAGCAATGAAAGGAAAAGATCATTGCTTGTGTGCCATAAATCCAGAGACAGAGTAAAAATTAAATACGTTTATAAACTATGTGGTTTCCACAGCTGAACAGTAGATTATGTGTAAGAATTGTTATATAATAAGATAAAGTACGGTTCTATGACTACAGTCCCCTGACCTCGCCCTCAATTTAAAACCTCCAACTAAACAGAACAACAAAAAAGGCCACATCCTCTTCAGTCTGCACCATGAAGAACTGTATTCATTAAAACACATAAAATACTGTATGCCAGCTTTGGTTCAAAAATATATTGACATATATGTTGATTGATGTGCAAAGTTCAGGTATCGGGAAGGAAAAAGTGGTATCGGAACATCTCTAGGTATTGCAGTCCAAGTTATCACAGTGTAAGTACAGTAAATGCATTCTCTAATGTCCCGCCTCAAGCTGGTGTCTCAACACAATATGTGTCTGTATGCCAAGCACAGCCAGTTCTCTGCAGCTGTTCCCTGTGGATTTATAGCTTACTTTATAACCTGTTGGTGCGTAGTAGCTTACTGGGGGTAAATACAGCTAAAAGTGCTGTCAGGTTTGTTTGGAATAAATTAAAGGAAAATGAGGCATAACACCTGTGGCTGAACAAGCAAAGTAAAGACTGGAACATTTCAAAAATCAAACAACATCAAGAGAGTGGAAAAGAGATCAGTTTTAGTGGATATTCCCTTGTAAAATAATACAACTGAACAGTTACCACATTAGTTTAGACAACATGCGCAGTTTATACGCTATAGAGTAGGTATTGACGTCTGTGGCTCTTTTATTACATTGAAGCACTTTTAGGATGAGTGATGTACGAACCTGACCACTCAGTGTGTAGCAGTGTCCACAATGGGGAAAACCTGAACATAAAAAAAAAAAAACTGTATATTGGTTAACTAACTAGCCTATCATACAGTGGTGGCCGTATACCATTGTTATTGTCACCAAAGCATTCATTATTTTCTTTGTCTCAAAACTACACTCACGTTCCCAATTGTGCAATGTGACAATTCTTTGTTCCTCCAACCTGGGCGGTGGGGTGGAATCTTACCCAGTGACGATTGACAGACTGAGAATACGGATGGTCGCCTGACCCTAATGCATCATTATTCTCTGCTTTTTCCTCAGATGAACCATATCTCCAGTTCCGTCGGAATGTGTTTTATCCTAAATCTAAAGAGCTGCAGGTACTGTGAACTCTGATTTATGAAGACATTGTTATCCATTGCTGGGTTCTTGAAGTGCTAAGTTTTTGTAAACCTGTTGTAAACCAATTAGGATTTTTGCTTGTATGAAATAGTCATTGTCATTGTCTCACTCCTGAGCAGATAGGTGATGAGGCCGTGCTGAGGCTTCTGTATGAGGAGGCCAGGAGCAACATCCTCACAGGTCGATACCCCTGCGATCCCGAACACTGGATGGGACTCGGCGCCTTGTCTTTTGCTCTTGATGAGGGAACTGGTCTTGATGGTGAACAGTTTACTGCTATTATAAGGTAAGTTCGGAAGGTTGGTTAAAAAATGTTTGATCAGATTCTGGATGTGGCTTTTAATGACTTCTATTTTTGTATTGATGATCGCAATGTTGACCCTTCTGTTATAGGAATAGTGTGATTATATTATAGGAAATGGGCGTACTCGCTTTCTCTCTGAGAGTTAGACCACCATGGTTTTCATACAGACATTGTCATAGTTGACATAGTTGTGTGCCATTTTCTGGTAAGATAATCAACAGTTTTTTTTTTAGCCAACACATGATTCCACATGACCCAACACATGATTCCACATGACTCTCTTCTTTATCTCGAGCACTTGGTTAAATGAACATTTCACAGTTGACTTGGTTTTAGTTTGCCATTTAAAAAATTAATGTAAGTGCCCCTGCTCTTTATTTTGTCACATGGTGAGAAGACGCCTCGCTTCAGCCTAATGCACTAGACAGAAACGACACAAAAATCAGCACAACCAAACTTATGTCCCTCAACCCACATGTTGTAAAGGGCAGCTAGGGGCTGGAGTAGCTTTAAGTACTTTGGCACAATCAGTGACAATGTGTTGTAATGGGATGAAAATCCACAGGCATTGTGAAAAAGGTCAACAGTGCTTCTTTTGTTGGATGGGACTTTGATTTTTTCAAATGTTAATAACACTCACATTGTGCCACAGCAGTACTTTCCAGTTGCTTGTTGCTTTGTAAGTGCCCAGTGAAAGAATGCACAAAAGGAAATTTTTGATTGGAGTGGGACGATCATGTGAGACTTGATTGTAATTAAAGGCCATTTTATTATTGCAATACTAAAGGAATGTAGTAGTCCGTAGTAGTATGCATGTTACAGGGTGCCTGCAGTTAGTTGTAACGTACTTCTGAATTGATATTTATGTATTTATGAGGAAGTCTCATGTTTCCTTGCGTACTGTATTTTAAAAATGTTTGCGTCTGTGGCATCTAAAACTGTGTCACAGTATCTTATTTTATTTGGTGGTTAATAATTGTTAAAACAAAATAGACAATTCAAGGTCTGTGCTCCATCAAAATTAACATTAGGATTTCATTCCTAAAGTTCATAAATCACTTGGCATAATTTTAGCTTTCCCAACACAAGAAGAGATGAAACTTTCTTTTTATCTACAGATAAATGACATAATGTCATTATTATGTCCTAAATACAGTCAAATCAAATCATCAAGATATGACTTGATTGGTACATTGAACAGGAGAAAAACACAACTATTGAACATATATAGCTGGCTGATCTTGATAACCACTGAAGCAATTGTGCTTTTTATTATCATTACTGGTTGCAGTTTATATTTAAGACCAAAAGGTTCTTTTCAGAGGATCTCTATGTGATCATCTGGTGACGTCTGACACTGAGGAACAAAAGCTGTACCACTTAACAAGATTTTTTTTTGTATCATGAGTAATAATTGAGGAAAAAAGGTTGAAACTCCATTTAAATAGAATGAGCATGGAGAGAAACAAATAGTAAAAAATCTTCACTGAGTGAAGAAAACAGAATATTTAAGGAAAAAAGTATTGCAATGGAAATCAGTTCCACAGTACAGTAGTCATAAAAACAGAACGACCAAAGCAACAGAATATATGAGATTACACAGTAAATGGTAACAAAAGAATTGTGAATTGAGCCCAGAACACAGATAAGATGCACCAAATGCAATAAAAACTTGTCTCATCTGCTTTTCACAGAGAGAAGAAGCTATCTTCTTTTCTGCCTGCGCATGCTGCCATGGGGAGTGGAGGTTTGTTCTCCACTCTGAGAGGGAAGTCGAGCCGTCAGGCAGGACTGGAGCAGAAACTCTTGGAGGCGTACAGAAAGATCAGCACATCTGCTGGAAAGTCTCCTGAGCCCACACAGCTCCTACACCAGTACCTTAATACATGTCACAATCTGCCTTATTATGGGTAAGAATTTGTGTAATGAGCTGTTTTTACTCCACAAAAGTTGAATTTACCTCAAGTAATTTACATACCTCAAATCACTTCATATTTATTATGTTTTATTTGACTTTAACGACACAAACAGGTGTGCTTTCTTCCTCGGGGAGATTGACAAACCAGCGCAAGGGATTCTTCAAAGGGGAAAACGCAAAGCTGTCAATGTTGGGATCTGCCTGGAGGGGGTTTATGTGATGGATGTCAAAGAGAAGGTCTGTAACGACACAATTCCACCTTTCTCACTGTATGTGTGTGTGTGTGTGTGTGTGTGTGCATACGTGGATAATTATGCAGAAATGCTGAGAGCAATTTTCATTCCTCTTCATGAAAACTACCCTGATTTCTCTTGTCAAACACATTTTCTTGCAGCATGTGCTACTTGGCCTGCGTTTCAATGAGCTTTCCTGGGACCACAGCTACCCCGAGGAGGAGGGGGACTCGCACATTCTGTGGCTGGAGTTCGATGGAGAGGAAGACGGCACTCCTGTCAACAAGTTGCTAAAGATCTACTCAAAACAAGTAAGACCATGTTTGTGAAATGAAATCCTTGAAATCACCTGCATATGTTTAACACCTGCACATACATTAGCGTCTGTGTGGTTGAGTGGCATCAACCAGCACGTATACTGTGGCTTTAGACTGCCTCTGAACTGTTGAGTGTTTTTTGGCTGTTTTTGGGTCACACCTGTCGTGGTTGATGTCTGCTGTAGTTTGAACATCAATTTGAGGACGTCTTGCCACTGGAGAAGGTGGCAGATGTAGTCTTGCTATGTGTGTCTCGCTTCAAATGAGGACTTGTAGCCATCTCTAGAGAGCGCAGTGCATCTGGTGTTTTTGAAGGCTTCAGAATCAGGTGCAGCTGCTGTGCCTATTTGTTCTCAAAGGAGCATAACACTTGATATTAGTGTTGAAACCTAATAGATTTTAAATATTTTTTGGTGCTCTCCTTGCTCGGTGATTGTTGGGTTGAAAAGGATTGTGTCAGCTACCAGATGGTGAAGAGATATTATTATGTAACACAGAGGCAGTACTACATAATCGCACCAGGCCCTAATCCAAGGCTAATGGACCATCAAAAAGTACAGCTGTTTATTATGTATACTTCTAAGGATCAGACTTAATCATTTGTATTTTTATTTTTCTGTCGATCAGGCAGAGCTAATGAGCGGCTTTATCGAGTTCTGTGTGGAGCTGAAGTCTGCGTCTGAGGGAGGAGCTGCAGCCGAAATGGATGGTGAGGTGAGTCTGCCTCAGCAGGCTGCCGGGCAAGAAGGCAGCAACAAGAACGGACGTGGAGGACGGCGTGGGATGCTGCATAGGCAAAACAGTGTTGTTTGCAGCCGGGTCCATTCACTTAACACTATCAGCTACGTGGACAATGGTGAGGATTACAGTTAGTTGTTCTAGCCTCACACTACAATCTTTCTAGATGTAGACAATCTCCCTGTAGTACCTTCAGTTGGAGTAATTGTTCCATATTTGTCCGTTTTGTTGTCTTTCAGGAAAAGAAATCAAACGCTTGAAGCCGAAAAGGGCCGCATCCTTTTTTACCCGGCAGGCGTCTGCACCCACGTACTCTGCTGTGCAAGTGACAGAGAGTCTGGAGCAGGGTTAATGTCTCTGATCAGCTCCACCCTTTGCCTCTCAAAGACCAAACCTGAACATTTTACACTGAGATTGAAAGACTTGATACAAGCGTGAGACATTTTACTGATAATATATGAACAAGCAAAGGACCAAGCGAGGGATCTAAGTGTGAGTGACAATATTTATCTTTTGAAGTTGTGTATATTAAGAGAGTACGGTAATGTGAAAAATGAACAGATCTATTAACAGCAATGCATCCGAGGTTAAAGTGAAGAGTATATTCATTAGATGGCTATTGCTTCATAAGTCTGAGACGAGCCTTAGAGAAATCCTCAGGCAACGACTCCATTCAATGACTGTATGATATCTCATGACATTTCTGCAGCGCTCTCGAGCTGTTGTATACTATTCAAAAATGTTAAACCTCATTTTACTATAACCACTGCATTACCTCTTGAACTCATATTGGGGTTTTGAAGATCGAGAACACCTCAATATATCCCCATACAACATTAAACATTTTGTAACTTCTCCTCAAAGCTGCAAGAGTTACAACATACTCTTTACAGTCAGCATGACAAACACTTTCAGGGGACGATCTGAGGGCGTGTTCCCACTATGCTGCTTTTTCAAACTGGCAGTGCCTTGTTCTCATGAAAGGGTGAAGACACTTTAGAAAAGTAGTGGTAGAAACGTTGAGTGGTTGCCGTTATTGATCACAAAGAGTCTGTATGGGAGCACATGGTCTGTGCTGTGGACGTCTCTTGTAAGTAAATGATTTTAAGAGTTTGACATGGTTTAATATTTGCAGCTGGTTATCGTGGAAGCGCAGGTGGAACATCCCACTTTTTTTTATTAGTAAAAGCGAAATGGCCTGAATGTAAAATGACAAATTCACAGTAGGGAGTCCTCAGTGGGGAGCAAGAATTGATTTGCACCAATGAAAGTCAAAAACCACCCAAACTGTAAAGTAGTAAAAATGAATTTAATGAAAGCTATGTCTATTAATTCCAATTAATGTACCATACCAGTTAGAATTTCATACTCAACTTTTAACATCTAAATTGTCACAGTACAAGGTCTTAACTATTACTTGCTTGGTCAGACCTGATCAGCAAAGTACAACTGATGCAATAGTGCACTTGTGCAACTTCTGACATGAGAGAGACTAAAAATAATTCTGTTCAGCACTACTTTTAACCTACGGACTCAAAAACTAGTCTGGCAAATTCAGACTGCAGCCTTCATGTCTAAATTTCGGTTGGACATTTGAAATGATTGTTTTCATTGCAAACACAATCACAATTGACATTATCTGAAAGAAGACGGGGAACACTATGTGACACTGCATTTTTACACACTCCTGCGGGTTTTTAATGGGTTATTTTGTTTTAAAAAAATAGAACAATTGTCAATTTCCCATAAAGGAACATTAAATGCTTCAGTTTATCTGAGATATGTGGTTTTCACTGGGCAGCAACTATGTCCTCTGTGTGTGTGTGTGT